ACAGAGAGCACGGGGCTCGAAGTTGAGTGCTGGAAAGGCTTTTACCTATATTTTGTGACCTGTTTTTACTCTTTGAACTTCCTGTCATAAGCATCTGTTACTGTCATTAGAAAAAGGAAAAATAAGTAACTAGAACTATTTTACATAAAAAGTAAACACTACTTTTACAAATAGTTGAGATAGTATCCTATCCGACTCACACCATGGAAATGTGGGTACATATTTATTTTGTCAGTAAGTTTACTTGGTCAGGTCGAGCACAGGCCTTGCACTGAGCTACATCTCCAGCCTTTTCATTTTTTGAGACAGAGCTTCATTAACTTGCCCACATTGGTCTCACACTCGCCGTTCTCCTGCCTTACCGTTCAGAGCACTAATTTGTCTGTGTGTTGATGATGAATGTGAATTAGCTCAAGGGTTTGGGTAGAAAAGCAATGTGATATTTTCCATGTTTCCAAGGGCCATGCTTTTTTATTTTATTTTAAAGAAAATAAAAATTAGAGAAAAACATTAAAAACAATACAGAATTTCAAAACAAGGTGATATGAAATCCACAGTGGTGGTTGTTTTCAAGGAGGCGTGATGAATGCACATAAGGCTGTTGCATGCATGTCTACAAAGGAGCTCAGGAAAAGCCTCTGTGCTTCCCCCTCAGAGTTTCAGGGCATTCTGGGTAAAAGAATCTTTTCAGGTGCCTGCAATTTTTCCTCACATGCTTAGACTTCAAAAGGTATTGCTGGATGGATTTCATGGTTTTACACACTGACCTCGTCACACACAGTCATGAGCTCTGCTGTCTGAGTCCCTGGGCCTGCGCAGCCCTTCTCTGGGCTTCCGTCGGGTCCTTGTGTGGGTTGTCTCCCTCCCCATGTGAATTTCACAACTTTCTCTCTGGATGTTTCCTGATGCTAAGAACAAGGATCTATTTTCCTGTGTATTAGACTGCTTTTCCTTGTCTCTGGTCTCACCTGTGCAAACTGAACATTAGGTTCATTATCAGTAAATAAGTAGGTTAATTTCAACCAGGAAGCTAACAGAAATAATGTAAATTTTCGATAATTACTCAGTCACCTGATACCATGGATGCTATCCTGGGTGCCTAACTTTTGTTGATATGCTGATAAAAGTAGACCAAAGTGGGTTTTTTTTTCTCCAAATGCAAGTACAAGTAACATAAAAAACACCCTAACTCTAGAAATGTGGTAAGTTTGACACTTAATGGTATAAAGAGAGCATATGGGGCTTTTGATGCGTATTATTCATTTTGAATAATGTAGATTCAAGACAGCTTTTCTTCCTTAGGACATGCAAGAGTTGATTTCTAACACTGCTATACTGAGTAAGAAAAAATACATTAAAGAAACCTACCCTTGTACTTTGCCGTATATATGGGTACCGTTTGCTTTCCTGTCCACTTATGTATAAGCTGAATCACTGAATTCATCAATGAGATGGTAACCAAGTTTTTGTTGGCTGTTCTATGGCTTTGTTAAGGATCCTGTTAAATGCTATTAAACATAACAGCATTAATGGGCATTCTAGGGAATTAAACTTTGAGGTATTGAAATTTATTTCATAAAGGGTCAATTTTTCCAGACTATGCCAAGATAGATTTTCCTGTAGAATAAGTCCCTCTGAAACTTTCTTTGTAATGTTTAGAAAGTTTGTATCAAGAGACTTAAAACTAGTTATATTTTTTGTCCCTTTAATACTAGTTAGGAAAATTCTATGCTAAGGAAGCTATCAGATATTTGATAAAAGATTTAATGAGTATTATGTTCATTAAATCCTATTTATATAGAAATAAAAGGAATATAAATGACTAAGATAAGTAGTTAAAATATCTATATTGCAAGGTCTGTGTTATTATTGAAAACCATGTGCCTTTCCTAAAGTACATGCAAATGTAATTCCAAAAAAATTTTTATATGATACCACTTTAGCTAGGTTATTCAGATTTTTGAAAGTGCACATATACAAATAAAAAATTAAAGACCAGTGCATGATAACCATTTTAAGAATTTGATATACTCCTAGATGATAAAATTATATTTGTTGTTTTCTTTTTAAAATTTTTCTCTGTTTGCCTAATGACCTAATAAACTATATCCGATGAAATTTTTACCAAGTAAAAAAAATCATTTGCCCATTTTCTTTCTTATCAAACTTTCCATTGTGCTAGTACTTAACTTGAGAGACACACACAAAAAAAGTCATACGAATGATGGGGAATAAAAGGAAGACTGTCCCCTTCCTCCCAATATGCCTTTGATTTATACCAATATATGAGCAATAAATACCTTGTCCTAAAATCCTAAATAAATAAGCGAAAAGCAAATACTACATATTGTTTTGGAGCCTTATGACTTGCTGAATTTAAACTGTGATGGGATTCGTTTTCTCTTCTCTGAAATCACGAAGCTTCAAATGAAGGCTGTGATTAGTGTCAGCCTTTAAAACTGACAAGAAGAAAATCGTCCACTTGGCTTCCTGCCAATGCTTTCCTCAGAGGAGGAAAGAACCTAGTGCAGAAACAGACGTGTTCCGACCCTACTGAGTGGTCACAGGAGAAGGCAGGAAACCTGCAAGATATTTACAATGACATTGAAACCAGAGGTGATAGATACCACTGCCCATTGCAAAGCAAAGCCACCGCTTATCAAAGTATCATAATCATGGAAATCTGCTAAGCAAAATGAACACTTAGAATAAGAGAGGTGAATGGAGAGTGAAGACAAAATCAAATTTTAGAAAACTATATCAATATGTAAGAAGAAAGTTCAAGCTACTATGGGACATTTGTATGTAACCACATCCAGATGGCTTAGTAATCCTGAGTCAATTATTACAGACTTAACTAGCAATCCAAGCCTGAAGTACTGCTTGTGTTGTGACTACACACAAGTAACTTAATCTTTCAAAATCTCAGTGTATTATCTCTACAATGGGAATAATAATAGCACTTAATTCATCCAGCAGTTGTGAGCAGAGAAAAAATACACAGCATCTGAAATGATTAAAGCTTTAATGAGTTTTAATAATCACTTTCCATATTATTCATGTACATTTCAGCTCTCGAAATTGTAAATATGTTCAAATTAAGAGTATATTTTAGCTGTATTTGGAGGAAATACATCTTCCTTACTGCCTATTCAAGTTTTAAAGTCTTATCAAATTATCGAACAGCTATTTCAGTGTGACAGTCTGTTACTAAGTACCCGAGGTTATACTGAACAAAAGTTCCAATTCTGTGTGATAAATAGTAATCTTAGAGTTAAAAGATTTAGTGGAAATCTTCCTCAGATCTTACCACATTCTTAATTGTGTGTATATGTGTATGAGAGAGAGAGAGAGAGAGAGAGAGAGAGAGAGAGAGAGAATTCTAATTGCCAAACCCAGCTCCAAATCATGAATGATATCAGCCCAAAATGAGCTATCAGCCCCTTAGAAAATCTGCATGAGAATTAATCTATTGATTCCTTAATCACTTATAAGTTAAATTGACCCCATGAATGAATCTCATTTTGAATGAAGAAGTTGCACAGGAAAAAGTTTCTTAGAGAATCATCTGTTTAGACATAGAAATTCGGACAACCATCTACACTGTTTTGTTTGCTCCCTAGGACATTTCCCCCCTGCTCTGATTTACACAGCTTCAAAGTGGAACGCACTCATGGTTACACTATTGTAAGTGAGATGGCCCAAAGCAAACCTCAGGGAGGAATCATGTCCTCCACACTGGTGCAGATCTGTGGCTCCAAATTCCAGTTCATCAGTATATCTGCAAGATGGCAAACTTCTTTTTGTTTCCTTAATGTGTTAACATACAAGCATTTTAATAGCTATGCATAGGAATATGGCTATTCAAAGCAAGCATCCTAAGTTATAATCATCACTTGGGACTGAGTGAAGTTATGATCATTTTGAATGAAGGAGACACGTGGCTGTAAGGCTTTCTTCATGGACTTGCCTGTTACTTAGCATGATGTGACTTACACTGACCCACAGTGTCCCCAGCATGGTTTCATCATTACCATTCTGGTTCTAGAAGGCTTGAGCCATAGTTGGCAAGTTAAGAATTTTTTCAGATATTTACAGAACTAACCAACAATAAAATAAATACAAAGAAGAAGCAGAAATTACTTAATGAGAATTTTAAAACTCACTGAGAGAAAAAAGAAAGCACTTATCAGCTCAAAGTAAGAGGAAAATTTAAGTAACTTTTTGAGGGAAAACAGCCATCATGAACCTTATCCAACTATGGTGACCTCAAAACATATGTAATGGTTGATAAGCAGAGTTAGATTAATGATGTGTGGCAGCCTGAATATGTTAATGGTTTACTGAAATGATGCACACTGATTTATATTGTTTCTGTCTGGCCTGTGAGTCTACCCTTCACCTTCTTTGTCACTTGTGTACAGTTGAAATAACATAGCCTATCAGTGTAAGTTCTACTTTGCTAATGTGACTGGTTTTTCAGTCATTAAGATCTTTTTTCCATTGCTCTTCCTCTTTGAACTTAAAACACACACTCAAGAAAGCTTGTCTGTATTCTGCTTAGAAGGTGGGTATTTAATTAGTGCCACTTCTGTAACTACCCTGTGTTTAAACTGACAGTATTTGTTGCACATCACCTCCAAGTATATCTTTAGCAAGTAAGTCACTTTTCCTCATCACCTATCATTTATGTCTTATCAGCATCAAGAGGAAATGAAACTAAGGCACACCTATTTATTTTTGCCTCCAGGCATTGAAATTTAGTTACTATATTGATAGTGCTTACTGGTAACACAGAACACTTTTTCAAATGAATAATTTAATAATGTTAGATGATAAGAGTTCACTGTTACAGTCTGTTCTGTGAACATACTCAGCTATAATCTTGGAAGAATGACACTAAAACAAGGCCTCAAATTTTGTTACACTGTTTCTTCAAGGCATATGCTAGCAAAGACTCCTTTTTAGTTCTTTTATTTTTTTTCTAAATATTCCCACAGGTACTAAGCACAAAACCATGTTGGAAGCACGAAACGGAAGTGGGACTATCAAAGCGTTTCCTCGGGCAGGGGTAAAAGGCAAAGGACCTGTCAATAAGGGAAACACGGGCCTCCAAAACAAAACATTTCACTGTGAAATCTGTGATGTGCACGTCAACTCGGAAACACAACTTAAACAGGTAGGTAACACAGTCTGGGGATGAGAACAAATTAGGGACACTCTTACAACCCCTATGTATATGCTTTCATTCTTCCTTTTAATTTGTGACTTTTTTCCCATCCATCCATCCATCCATCCATCCATCTGTCCATCCATCCACCTACCTCCTTATCTTCTATTCACTGTCATTGTATATGTTGAGTTTTTTAGTTGCTGAGGAAATAACTAAAATTCAGTGGCTTCTAGGACCTTTTGTAAATTGTTGGCAAAGGAAGAGTATCAGATCTTTTCTTTACCATGTTTCACACTCAAAATGTTGATAATCATTAAAAGATCAATTTGTAGTGTTCCATTTTTATTTTTTAGATACTACGTGTCACAACTCATTTGTACTGTGTCATTCTTTTATTGTATGTGCTTTATTATGTGGTATTATACTATATTTCTACAGCCACCTGCTGAAGGTATGCTTAATCATGTTACATTCATATGTACTCTGAATAACCTTCTAAAGAGATCAGTTGTACATTTCCAGCGGAAAGCTCTTATACTGTGTTGTATTTTATATGTATATGTATGATATTTTGGTGATTTTATGTACCTTAGTTGTTTATCTTTAGAATTTAAGGGTCTGACATTTGGATGTACAAATGTGGGGATAAATATTGGTATGGAAATAAACTCTGCCTGCCTGGGCATTTTTGTTTATTGCACATAAAATTCCTCTAGACATTTCTTTCCTTTGTAAACCCTTCTAAAAATGGAAATGTGTGCAAGGATAAGGCAAAAAAAAAAAAAAAACCTGGAGAAAAAAATCCTTTTATTTGATTAAAATATACTAAAATGGACAGCATAAAAATAGATCGTGAAGATCTCAGAATGCAAGGGCAAAAGTGCATGTTCTTTTAGTTCTGTCTTTCTGAAACTTGCATGAAATAATTATTATCTTTTTCCAAGTTTAAAAGTATTTTAGATCATATGGGGGGGATGACTTTTAAAAACTGTCACTTTTAATTGCTTTTACCAGCACATTAGCAGTAGAAGGCACAAAGACAGAGCTGCTGGGAAGCCACCCAAACCTAAATACAGTCCCTACAACAAGCTACAGAAAGCAGCACATCCACTGGGGGTGAGTGTCTTGCTATTAGTGAACACTTAAAAGAAGGTCAGTGAAAACAATTCTTGAGTTGCCTTTTTAATATATTCAAGAGACAAAGCATTGGTATTATGGACAGTCTCAGTAAATTTGAAGTTTTAAAAAGAAGTTTCAGGCTGGGTGTGGTGGTACACACCTGTAATTCCATCACTGGGGAGGCTGAGGCAAGAAGATCGCCTCAAGTTTGAGACCAGCCTGGGCAACACAGTGAATTCAAGGCCAGTTTGGACTACAGAGTGAGACCTGGTCTGAAAAAGAAAAAAAAAACAGAAAAAGCAAAAATAAGATACAATTTCAGAATATGGCTCAGTTTTTATTTAATTATTCATTAGAGATACTATGTGAGACCTTGGGAAATAATCTTGAGAAATGCTCTCTCCCCATTATGCTAAATGTGTTGGCTAGATTAGATAGCATTAATAGTATAATGTCCCGACCTGGATTGTTTGGTAGAGCTTAACAGACAATCTGGGAAACCTTCTGACATTGTATGTTAGTGTTGATGGACATATGCTTTTCTTCTGATTGAGATGATTGTACTTTCACCAAAGAGACCCAGGTCTCAGTGAAACTCTAGGAATAGTTGACCTATATTATATGCCAAATTATGCATTGTGAAGCCTGTTTCCTTCAAACAGATCTTACTAATGACTGATGCTAGTATGTATAGCTAACACAGGAAAATACAGTTATAGGAAAATTCCAGTCATCTATCATGAGACTCCACTTTGGACTGACCCAATTAATTTAGTAGGATTCCCCATTTTATGAAAGTAAAGTCACTTTCAGCTTTTTTATAAAAACAATTTTAGCTGCATTGGGACATGTTGAATTCTGTGCAGAGCTGATACTTTAACATCAGTAGTCATAACCCTACATGTTTTCTCAACATCAATGCAGGTTTACCAGTCAAGTAAATTGTGTTGCTATGAAGACTCTAAACTCACTTTCTTACCTATTTCTTTAAGTAGGAGCAGTCTCTCCAGTGAGAACAGGTATCTTGCTAATGTTAATGCTGCTAGTCAGAGAATGAGCTAGCTTTGTAGAATAAGACTGAGAAAAGGAGGTGGCCATTTGCACAAGAAAAAGAGGAACATGCCAAAATTTGGAGAAAATAAATTTTCTTTACATTTTTATTGAAGGTGAACTTTTTGTGAGTGGTACCTCACACAGGAGAAAGCTGCATGCTTTATGCTCCCCAGTTTACGTATTTGGACAATCAAATGGCACTGGTAGTAGTAATGAATCTCTCTAAAAATGTCTGTTTCTTGATAGTTAATGTGCAAGGAAAGGTTGGCATGAAAGTTTCTTCTCCTTTTTCACAGTGATTATTTTCCCCTACCAGAATAATTTTCAACATTCTTGGTAGACCATTTTTCGTAAACTTTCCATCTCTTCCAAAGGGAAAATGTTCTATGCTTTCTATTTTCTTTATTGTCAATACAAAAGTATGAGTTTATGTTTACAGTTGTTGATGTATTTTTCAAACTGCCTACCATTTTGGATTCTAAGAAAAGATTTGAAAATTTGGGTTCTCACCTTTTTTTTTTTTTTTTCCTTTCAGGTAAAATTAGTATTTTCAAAAGAACCATCAAAGCCATTGGCTCCCAGAATTCTTCCAAACCCATTGGCAGCTGCGGCAGCTGCTGCTGCTGTAGCTGTGAATTCTCCCTTCAGTCTCCGAACTGCTCCTGCAGCAACACTGTTCCAGACCTCTGCACTCCCGCCAGCACTCCTGCGGCCAGCTCCTGGACCCATTCGGACGGCCCACACTCCTGTGCTGTTTGCTCCCTACTGAATTCCAAATAGGAGTGATTGTACTGCAATAATTTTTCAAAACACAAAACAGAAAAGCAAACAAAAGAGAACTATGCAGTGTTTATTTATAGTTTAAAGTATATATGAAGAGCCAGGACTTTTGATAGTAAATTGAAAAGATTATTAAAAGTGGGAGGGGACTGGGGGTGGGAGGGAGGGAGTGATATTTTCTCCAAATTAAAGCATTCCTCTTGAACATTGTTTTAGAAGTGATCTCCAGCACTGACTCGTAGTGGTATCTAGAACTTCTGAGCCTTTGTGACTGTGCTTTTGGGCACTTACTTCCCCCCTGCATTGTCTTTTATGCTTTATGAAAAAATTACACATTGTCTAAGGGCATTAACTGGTTCCAATGTATATATAATAATTTACTCTGTAGATTAAAGTAATACAAAAATGGAAAAATATTACAAAAAAAGAACAAAAGCAACACTGTGAATAGTAGTACCCGCGCTGGTCCTCTCGCTCTGACAGCAGTTGCTGGGTATTTATCCCAACAAAGTAGATACAGTAGATGTCTTGTAAAACAATAGTGCTGTGTCTCAATCTATGCCATTAGGATTTAAAGAACTGTAAAAGGTAGAGTGAACAACTATGTCATACAAGTAAGCAGTATAAAAACAAATACAATAAACACCAAATGGTGTCATGGAGGCCTTCCTGGTCAACATTCTGCCCTCCTGTCCAGCTTGGAGTTAGAACAGGGCTATACTGAAAGGTGGGAGAGGCATTAATAAAGCTAATTTCTTACCACATTCCCCGCCCTGAAAAAGTATTGCTGGAAACGGGGAACGCTTTGTAATGAGTTTATATCTGAACACAGATAACCCATGTATCATGGGTATTTAGAAAGAAATCAGTACAACCATTGTGTTTTGAAGAGCAGTTGTAACCTCAGATGACCTCTCATCTTTCAGGTGATGCAAGGTAAAGATCTTTCATGTGAGTACATATCTTAAAAAAATGAGACTATTATATCTCTGCAGTATGCCCTTTATATCATACCAGTAGGCTTGTCTCAAGGTTTCTGCTTTAAATATGATGGCAGAATTAAGCATTAGCTATTGTTGTGGGTTTACGATTTTTAAGATTTTCTACTGACATGATATAAACATATAAATATTAAGAACCATAACAAACATAAATCTGAATTAATTGCACACCTATGATAGAGTGCTAAAAAGTACTGGTAAGGTCCACTGCTTCTCTAGTGGAGTTGTGAAGTACTGACAGGCTTTGATATTCACCCTAAAGCTGAAGGGAGTTGATGTTTTACCTTAAAAACAAGATTTATCAGGGGTATATATAAATATATGTATATTGTATATATGTTAGAAAGAGTAAGAGAATAACTTATAAAGAGAAAAATCTATATAAAATAAATCTATAACCATTCAGTGTTACATGTTATCATTAAATTGGTAACAAATGTCATAAGATAGCTGTGCCTTTAATTTGAGATAAAGGCTATTTGCGTTTTCCCATAGAAAGCGAACATATATCTATCATTACGATGGGACTCAATGCAGCCAGTCTGTTGCATTAATAAGAACAACAACACTCAAATACAAAGCAAGTAAAAATCATATACAAGTCAACCCTATGTGATTTAGGTGTAGAGAAAAATTATTTTTTGAAAAGGTTTTGTAAAGGCTATTTAAAAATGTAGGGAAGGGCTGGGCATAGCCTTCCTGAAATTACTCTTATCTAAACTGTGGTGATCTTCAAAGAGGTCTAAAGAATCAAGGCAAAACCATTGAAGAGATAGGTATTTAGCATTTGTCCTTTTCTATTTAAGAAACATCCATAGCGTGCTTGGTGCTCAACATTAAACATGGTCTTTGGAGTACTTCTCCTCTGTGTAGCTGTAGAAATTTTTCATATAAATGTATCTTGAAGGCAGTTGGCTTTATTTATTTTTGTTAAACAACCAAAACAAAACAAAAAGGGCAAAAAAAGAAAAGAACAAAGAAGAAAGGAAGGAAGGAACAAAGGCAGAGGAGAATAAGAGAATGTATTTTAACAGTTTTCTGGTGAGAAGAATTCAAGCCATGCCTTCATTAAACATATTGGTTAGTGTTAAAATTTGCTTCTGAAAGTGCAGTATCTGTGATTTTGCGTTTTCCAGTGTCCCTACTATCTGAGCAAGTCTGGCTGCCTTTTCTGTTCTTTCCTTTCCATCCGTCTCCTTTTGTCTTTTCTTTTTTTCTTCTGTTCCTACAGGTCCTACTAGTAGTTCAGTCAGGTGAACATGAGCTTGTTACTTTGGGCTCTGTGTCTATGCCATTTGCCCAGCTTCTAATCATCTTGAATTTCATTTTTCTTTTTTGACAGTATTAGATATTTTGCTCTCTCACTATATTCATCCCTGTGTAGAAGTTTTTGCATCTGATGAGGTCTCCCTTTCTGTTGAAGAATTTGATGTTAATTGATGCAATGTGCTTTTGTTGTCCTCCCCGTTTTTACCAATGTCAATGAGCCAATCCAGTAGAAGTCAGGGCCTGTGGATACAGAGTCGTGGGTCACAAGATGTTACTGACTAGTGACTTGCTGGGAACAAACAAATCAGCCATACTTTCTTCATCAGCCATATGAGAAAACTCAGAAATACCTGGATCCCTTCTGCCTCACTTCGCTATGGAACCATTTCTGTTTAAATGGTCTCTTAAATTGGAGTTGTAAACATCAATTGTCTTTTATTCACTACCTAATAAAGGATGAAGCCTAACCATAGAACTTACAATGGATTCTCTGTGAATTGTTTCCCCCTACTCCACATATTTATCAAAATGGGATCAACATCTATTATAGCTCAGACTGCTATAAAGCCGTATCCTTTCCCCGAAGGAGCCTTTTTCATGAATAAAGATTGCCAATTCAGATTGGTCAGCAGTGGTGTTGTGAAAATCCCCAAAGGTAGTGTGAATTTATAGTTATACATACCTTCCCATGCATCACACCCATGGCAAGGAAAGTGATAGCGTAAGCGTCTTTGGTTTCATTTGAAACAAATATAAATGCATTGCAAAGCCTCTGGAGAAAGCATTGTGTTACTTCATCCAGCTCTTCTGGACAAATGGGTAACAGTTGTTGGGGAGTTACGATATTTCTCTTCTGAGAAAACAAGTGACTACAGATGACAAATTACACCTCTCCTTCTAAACTTTGAAGAGTAGTTGTTTCAGTTACATAAACACAGTTGGCTTTTGGCAAGTTCTATCACTACTGCTTCCCCTGAAAGATTGCTGTCTTAGGTATTATTGGACTCTCCCATACTGTTTCAGCCACCCACTGTTATTATCATCAGAGATATAATCTTGCTGGCAAGGAACTATTTAAGAGAGACTGTTTATATTCATTTGGAAATTAAAAAGAACAAACAATAAAATAAACAAGGAATTAAAAACTGAAAGGCAATGAAATTTTAAAGGTAAGATCAAAG